CAGTAATCAAATTTCCTTTGTTCTAGTTACATAAGTGAACACCAACTGTCTGCCAAATGTCTGGCATTCCCAGAGAGGTCTGGACTGATGAAGGTTAGCAGCATTTTTGCAAGCTACTGTTGGCAAAATCTGGAGTTCCATGGACAGTTTCTCAGAGAAAACTCACATCTCACATCAGAGCTTTGCTGTAGCCAGCTGCTGAGGAAGATCTGTAGACAACAGATCTGTTGTTCTCAGCTGCAAACTGAATCATCTTGTATTTTCCCTAAAGAGTAATTTTCAAATTTTTTTTTTTAGACTTCCATCACATCTTCTTTTCTGCAATATTTTACTTCACCAGAGTCTCTCCTAATCTTCCACAACGCATATATACCACAACTCCTCTAGCCTGCCCCAAATCTCTGCCTTCCTCAGACTGCAGCTTCTCATACTGTTCATTCTTCATAATGTTTGTTTGACCCAGAAAAATGCTGCACTCTTTCCCCCAAGATGTACAGGCCATCCAGTCCCTATCTTGCAGGTGCTTTTTGCAACTTTATTAGCTCAAAGAAAATGTCATATTTGTCAAGGGCTGGCTGAAGCAAAAGGCTTTCGGAGTGTGGAAAGCACAAAAGGCGAAATTAGCCTATGTAAAACTTCCTAGGGGTTTTACACCTTGAGAGGAGGTATGGGCTACTCCTCTGCTCTTTGTAAAGGGCCTCACTCCAATTTACATGGATATCTGTTGTTTACAAGGACATGAAGCAGCACTCAGGAATTTGTGAGGTAAAAAGGACTTGAGACACACTTACCAGTGCTTTCCATGCTTTTTCTTCTTGTTTCCATTGGCTGACTACAATGCCTTTGCGGACAAAATCTCCCAAATGCTCATCTTGAAGTAACTTTACAAGTACAGGATCTGTTTTATGGAAATTTTTTATATCTACTGTGAACTCCTTTCTTTTGATGCTGCTTAAATGCCAGAAGCTTTTTGAGGGAGCTCTACAACGTTCAATTCCACATCAGTAAAAGTTCAATGGTCTGGAAAATAAGGAAGAGAGTGTCGGAATCAGTTTCTGAGATGCCTTCACAAAACTCATGTGTTCAGCAGTGTGCTGGAGCCAGGCTATCAGTTCTAAAACAGCTTTCACAGAGAAAACTTTATTCCACATAATTGCCTAGAGCCTGGAGTACTCAAGTGGCTTCAAATATAGTATCTTCTCCCTTTGGATGTTACTGCAACTTTGGGTAGCCAACTGTTCTGGTTCTTTCTCAGAAACATTGGAAACATCTGTCTGTCCATAAGAGAAATGGAGGGGTTGCTCTGGAAGAAACCAGTGTTTCGCAGCTATAATCACAGTGAAGGTGATTAGGTAAACAGTTATCATCATAGCAAAAGCTTCTCTTATGCCTTTGCCTAAAGCTTTTGTGTCCAAGCCAGATAGTCTGGGTTACATACACTGTGAAACTGGAGGCAGAGATTCTTATCTGTGTGGGAGCAGAAGACTTAGGGACAACTTCATAGTGAGAGTTTGATGTTGCTCTACAGCAAAACATGCCTTTGCAGGTGCAACACAGCCCTTATATTCTGAAAATGTACAGATGGGGTCGTGCCCAAAATTCATATCTAGACATCAATTTCAGACTCATTTGGCAATTTAGAGAAAATGAGCGAGATGTTCTGATATAACTGAAAACAGAATTCAGACAGGTTTTGATCTAGAGTTCAGCAACGAAATCAACAGTGCAACCCCTCTTGCTCAGACTGGAAGGGTGCATATAAAGGAGGAGGGTTTGAACTACTCTTTTCTTTGCGTTCCATCTGTGCAGCAACGTCTGGAATTTTCTACTGTTGATAGCTCTGGCATACACAATTATTATTGTCAAAGCAATGATTTAAGAGTGAGAAAGGAATGCAAAAATTTGCAAAGGGGGAATGTAAAATATACAGATAAAACCTTCATCCCGTCTCACACGATTATACGAAACACAGCTTTCCAGGGGGATTAATATGGTTTTATCATCCAGTCCCAGGGTAAGACATTTGAAAAGTTTACAGCAAAAGGAAAGCAAATATTGAGAAGTTCTGGAGTAAACTGTCTCTCATTTCACCCTGATGCTTACAATTGCTGAACGTTGATATACTGCTGCAGCACCAGGGCTGATCCTTCTTTGGATCAGCAATAAAGAAAATGCATTAGTTTGACAGTTGTAGTAAATGAGCCTTGAGCTTTTTCTTTTTTATTCATGGCTGGTTAGGTGTGCGGGTCACGTTCCAGCCTCATTAGCGAATAGTGGCAACTTAAATCTAGTTATTAATTCTCTGGCTTGCAAGTTGTTAACAGATGAAGCCCAACAATATTGACATAATGTTGGCTGAACCAGAGATTTCTGAGTGTAGCAGGACTTTTGTTTCCTGATGAAAAATGTCTTGTTGAAGAAAAAGTAACTGCTTCCAGCTAGACAGGTTCACATGGGCTAACATTACATCTGGTGTATTAGCAAGTGGAAAAGTTACATGCCTGAATGTTTCCGTTTGGATTTTTTTTTTTTTTTTGGTAATTGTTCAAGACTTCTGGAGATCCACAGGCTATTTTTTTTTCCTCTGGAGTTTAAAAACAGATTTAATGACCTAAACACACTTCTCGTTCTCCCCAGGAAGTGAATTTTTGCCTGGGTACAATGGTTCTTGATAACTTAAAATACCAATATCTTTTATTTGCAAGATGGAATCTTCATCTAGTTTACTCTTAAATGTTTCAACAGTCTCAATCTTAAAAGCATATGTATTGTATTCATTCTGCATCATTATCAGGTCAAAACTTTCTGAGGACAACTATGGATGTTCACGATTTACCAATGTATGACAGAAGTTGTATTAAAAGGGAGCACGGGAAACAGAAAATCATTACTGTTATTTCTCATGTACCCATGATCACAGTACCCCAGCATGCTACTGAATTAACTGAGGTCTATTTAAATTCAGACACCTTTTTCTTCCTTCTAATTACAATAGCACAACTTCTACTTGTGTCACACATTTGCATATGTGTTTGTGTATACATGATAATTCCAGTTTCTCTCAGTAATTAAAACACAACTCATAGCAATAAGCTAAAACTGACGTCTAGCCCTTGTAATCTAATTAAAGTCCAGCACTAGATAAAGTAAAACATTATGTTGCCTGACAGGACTGTATCCGTTGCCTCCTGCAATTACTAAAAAAAATGTAAAGAGAATTTATGCCATTTTCCAGTCTCTTTTTTATCTTCTGAATGCCATTCATACACCTTTTCCTAAAAAGTGACCTCCCCTTTTCAAAACTCCCGTAAAATTAACACCATGGCTTACCTTTCAATTTAAAATTAAATTCTTGGGAAATCCAGTGAAATGAATTTCATGGTTACACAAGTTGCTTTTCTCACTGTGACTCTACTCGGAACTGGTGAGCTGAAGGAATATTGAAATGTCAGCATGCTGCTTGCCTATAAATAAAGAACAGGCATGTAGAGTGAGTGATGTCAAGAGGGGAATGACGAATCATGTGCACATATAACCCTACATTTCTTGTGTATATCCCCCTTACAGCTCTATCCAATATTGACATGTAATTTCTGCAGTGTAATCCAAATCACGTTCAAAGGACAGACAATTTTTATTACCATCCATCCTTGTCAGGATCACTGGAACAGCATGTGTAACTGAACTCTCCAAGAGACAATCTTTTTCTGTGAGAAATGGTATCAGAACACAGTGAGCCAGGAAGAAATAGGAAAATCAGAAGTTTGTAGCACTCCTGAGGAAGAAAACTGAACAGATTCTACTGGACCAAGGAAAAATGTTTTAAAAAGGGTGTCCATGGGAGCTGATTTTTGATTTGTCTAATGTCTAATGTTTCCAGAGTCCTGTTATGTGGGTCTTTTATGTTGAAATTATTCATTAAGAGGCCTTACAGTTCTCATACTACCTTTGTCTTCAGTCAGCCTGGCTAATACACACATACTACTTGAAAGCTTATTTCAAGCAGTCTACCAGAAGTATCATTATTATAAGGGCTAACAAAGAATCCAGATAGAAATGGTAGAATCAGAAACCATCTAGAGGGACTATCTCATGAGACTTTTCATTGGTGAAGGACAGAGACGTGACCACTAATAAGTATGAGCAGTTTTAAGGAACAGAAACAGGGTGGTGGAAGCAAGAGAGCAAAATTGCTCTACACATTCTGGTTAATTTCTGGCTTCTAAACACCCCCAAACACCCCCCAGTCTTTAATAGCTTAATCAAGGAAATAAAAAGAATAAAAGGAGATGCTGAGTTGTTTGTTATTCACAGAAATTCTGGACTTAGATTTGATATCACAGTTTCTATGTTTGTTCTGTCAACTGCATGTTTGATGGATTCCTCATTTTTATCTCAGTTACATTAATCTTTTGTTAGCTGCAATAAAAAGTTGTGTTTCTGTACTTATTGTCTGTATAATTTTAGCTCATTTATGATGAACTTATAGGGTCCACTTTGATCTAGACTGATCACAAGAAAGGTTTGCATAGGTTTTGGCATAGCCTCAGGAGTTACATCTGCATTTCTCCAGTATTTCTGGGGGTGCCAGCTCAGTGGTGAACAGAATCGGTGGCAAGAGAGACGTATCAACACACCGCTTCCTGGTAAGTGAGCCTCATAAAAATTATTTTGGGCTTCTCAATAAAAGTGAAGTAGCTCTTGTGCACAGTAAATATCATCACATGTGCTCTACCCGCTTTATGCCCCTTAAGAAAGCTGGAGTGTTCTGCGGTTGGTGGAGCCCTTGCAGCCGGTGGTGTAAAAAAGAACATAAAGGCTGTTTATTCAAGGGCCTCTTGCAAAATGTGGCACATGGAAGCTGTCAGAGCCAGAACTTCAGCACCAGGCTGGTAGAGACTCCCTAGGCTTGCAGCCAGTTGCAAAGACATCCAGCGTCAGAGGATTAAAAGGATGGCTTAAAGTCTTGCCGATCCTCCCCTAAGGCTATGAATTCATTCATCCCGCTTCTAGACACACAGCGTAAAAATTCTCTTGCAGTCTTTCAGCTGATGCATCATTTACTTGATTTGGCAGGCTCCCACTTACATCAAGACTGGGTTTCCCCATCTGAAAAGCAGCAAAACCATGAGTGCTTTCCCTGAGTTGTCATCTGGCAGTGAGGATGGAACAGAAGCTTGGCACAGGTATTTCCGTATACTTATTTTAATCCATGTCAGTAGATAAGGACATATATTCCAAAGAATTACCATCAAAACAATTGAATCTTTCTGCCAACTTCAGCTGGTTTTGGACCAGGCATGCAAGTCCCCGCATTATCCACAGAACACATCCAGTGTTGAAGCAATCCAAAGGGAGAACTATGAATTTTCCAGGCTTGCAGGCTCATTTGATGAAATCACATTTATGGGGCAATAATGCCATTCCATTTCTGTCCTTTGCCTCTTCTCACAAACAACAAAGCTGCCAATTTCTGCCAATTGTGAGAAATCCTGAGATGTGAATGTTTATCCATTAGGATGTGCACAGAAAATATTGAAGAGTGAAGTTTCAAAAGGCAGTGTTTTGAAGAGAAAGAAAGGAACACCCACATAATTTCATGGCAATTTGTTAAATATCAAGCCAAAGGGAAATCGAGCCAGCTTCCTGGAGCTGGCACTGTGAAAGTGGCTAGTTTTCAAGCCTTAAATTTAATATACTGCTCACAGAATTTATCACATCCAATTCTTTTATGACAGACAGTATAACTTGATGTTTGTCTGTGATGGAGAGCTATACCAAATTGTGGTCCTGAAGCACTGCATTGTACCGAGCGGTTTTTTTCTCTTTACACTTCAATAAATTTACTACTACTGTGTGTGTAGTGTCCACAAAATATCTATTATAAAATAACAGTATTGGAGATTCACCAGTGCCTGAAGGTTGTAGTAGATTCCATGCATATTCAACACAAGACTTTTGCAGTTAAGCCAACAGGGAAAGAAATAGCTTAATAAATGTAACATGAAAAGAAATAGAGCAAACAATACAGATAATTAAACAAAGGAGGAAAATCAAGGCAGGAAATTATTTTAATGCAAAACTTGGACTGAGGTGAGAGAGGACAGAGCACTGGATAGCTGACGGGGATACTAACTAACTATCTCTTCAGTTCTTGTTCTTAATTGGATCTGACCGTGACCTCCATCACTTTGCAAGTGTTGTAGCAGGTGCCCTGCTCCTTCTCATCTTCTCCTCCCCACTAAACCAGAATATTACTGAGAAAGAAGTGCTGTGAGGAAGCACATCTGGTAAAATCTGATCAAATGAGCTACAGTACCCAGGCTAAAGAACTTATTAGTGTGATTATAATGACACAAAGAGCTTCCAACTCAGATCGGTCCCTTTTGTGCTGGGTACCTTACAGATGCGCTGATCCTGCAGGGAATTGCTTCCTGGCAAAACAGATAGGAAAAAAAAATCACTAAACAAAAGCAACACACACAAAAACCACCATCAAAATCACCACCACCAATAAACCAACAACCAGACAAGAGAAAGGAAGCACACTGCATATGGAAACTGTCAGGCAAGCAAAATGGCATTTGACCAGGATTGCAGAAGCACGTAACTAACTCTGCCTCTCCAGGGCTCCAGCCTTGTAGGTTCAGTAACACTACTTACTCCAGGTCTTTAGTGGCAAGCGAGAAACACCAGGAAAACAACGTTTGTATTCTTTAGGCACGATCACCTGGACTCTATGACAAAATAAATACACAGAATCTGTTTGCCTGACTAATTTCTAGTAAACAGAACAAGAGGAAACAAAGATAAGGTAAAAGCAGTTATCTATATTTCCACATCTTGTCACTAAGGTTGATTTGGTTTAATGGGCCTTTTCCCCTGGTGAAAGATTCAGATGCACAAGGGAAAAAAGGTCTCTTTCTTGGGATTGTGATCACTCAGCAGTGTTAAGAAATGCTTTTACATTTCCAAAATGTTCTATTGAGGGCATGTTATTTTGTTTTAAATACATGTATCAATGTCAGACACCTACTGTCTTGGAAGCAGAGACAGACCTACAGGTGAAAAGTTTTCAACTAAATATAGTCCTGTAATACAATGCCATTATAAAAACAAAGGGACAGTGACATTTTGAGAATAGCTATGTGTGGAATTCAGCGGCATAAATTACAGTCCTGTTGCAGCCCTACTGCAATACAGTGCACTGGGATTCCCGACCCTGCAGGAAGAATGTAGGAAAAAAAAATATAAATGGCAACTAAGTTATGCAAAAATTTCCAGGAAAAATGATACAACATACTGTACAAGAAGGGCATTTTTAATATCTCCAGGAGAAGGAAATCATTTGGTTTATTAAAGCAGCTCAAAAACTGTGGTGGCTGTTACAGGATCTGATCTGATTTGCAGTTTGATTTCCCATCTTCAACCAACAGCTGAACTAATTCCTGGAAACTGCAGCTAACCTAGCTCTTGTTAGCTCTGTGCCTCTGCATACATGCTTTGCTTGTGCATCTACCTGCCACAGTGCTATCCAACACAAATTGTGTTGGTATTATTTCACTCTCTCCTGCTCCAAGTCTCACACTTTAGCCTTGCTGGCAGACGGTGCTTCAGCTGTATGTGATCAGTGCCAAAGCCTGCTGCACTGCAGCACTGCCTGGGTTTGTACACACAGCACCGGTCGGTACTCGAGGGACCCTGGTGCTTCTGCTATGACAAATAAGCAGCAGAGGAGGTTCCTGCGCTGCCTGCATCACGCCTCAGGCAGCCTCGCTTTCTTTTGCATTCCAGTCTCGAGCTATTTGGGCAGCATCCCTGTTCTTTAAAAATACTTTTCTTGTATTTCAATACTGACACTTGCAACTTCAGTGTATGGTTTTAAGCTACACCTCTTATGTTGCTCTTGCTTGTGCTGACTGCTGCAGAAATACTTGGGAAATTATTTTATTTTTAAAAAAAATTATTTATTTCCTTCTCTACTGGTTTAGTTCCCATACCCAAGCTGTTTCTCATCCAGCTTCTTTTTGAGCTCCTGCTTTACATTGTTTTCTGATCTCCCTTTCTTTCTCAGCCTCCTGTTCCTAATAAATTTTACTTGTGATATTACTAAATGGGGAGATATAACCAGGGCCTTCAGAGCCTCCTAATATATATCACAGTTTGGCTTCTTAGGGCATAGGACTGTTACCTTTTTGGCAGCACTCATTAGCACTTTTAACAGTGGGTTCTGTTTAGAAATCAAAGGTGCCTTGGGGTCGAACATCCTGGGGAACATTAGTCTAAGGAGTTTTGTTCCTTGTAATAATGTTAATCTACATTAACACAAAATATTAAAATGCCATAGAGATTTTCTGGAACAATGTTACTAACATGGCCAAAGGTCAGCACTTGTTTTAGCTTAAATCAATGATGACTGCATGATGGATTTTTATATTAGTAAGAGCAAGCTGTTTAATTTTTAACAGTCTTCCTTCCCCTCTGCCCTCCAGCACACCCAAGAGTGGATACAGGAGAATATTCAGAGGAAAATACATATGAATTTTTTTAGCTTGCTTTCAAGCTGCTGGGCTACTGTGCCAATAAGACCTCTTTCTTCTCTCCTGAATGAGTTCCCTTTGCTCTGGACTTTTAGTTTTTCAGAATATTTTCAAATGGTAGCTATTGTTTATAGAGAAAACAGGATAATTTTGAAGCCCTGACAATATGTTATGTAGAAACTGATAGTCATTTTAAACCACTGTGTATGGCTACCTATTGGGCTCTATGTTTGAAACACCCTTTGCTTCACTTCTGTGACTTAATTGATGCACAGATTCAAAACCATTAAAACTTCACACTTAAAAAGGACATCAGATATGTTTCAGTTGATGCATCTACTTGATTTCTTTGGGAAGGTATTTTGAAAGTTTATCCCTTTGCTTACTGGCATAAAAGTCTGAATATTCTCTCACTTGAAAATCCAATTTAAAATAGCACTGATTTAGGGTATCCTACTACTAACAGCCAGGGGAAGCAGCATAGTGATAAATTACATGTTGGGATACTAGAGTATGCACAGTATTAATGATCAAAAGGATAGTCTGTAACATACTTAAGATACCAGCGTGGTTGGTGCCTACAGGTAGAATGGTAGTCTATTAGTTTGTCCTCTGTAAGGTAATAATACTCTCCCTGGAGCAAAGCAAGAAATGAAAGCCTGATTTATCTATCACACTCACAAAAACTCCTGCGGTACAGCTTACTTCAGCAGAACTACAACTGTAGTTTACGCATACGGCCATGGTGCGGCAGCCTAGTAACAAAAAAAAAGATGTGCTTGATGTTCCAAGAGGTGGGCATTTCCTAATGGCTTAAACTTTGCAACAGGGATTCTAAACACCAGAGAGAAAAATGAATGAGACATGACTGTTCCCTGCAGAAAAAAAAAATAAAAAAAAAAAATCTGGCCTTGATAAAAGCTGAATAGTGAAGGGAGGGAGAGTCTGAAAATTAGATGGCAAAGGGGGTCAGATTACGTGCCCACATAAGCAAAACTGATCAAAGAGCAAGAAACGAAGGCTTGATTTATGTCTTAAAAATCAAATGCTTTTTCCTCCCTTTGATACAGGCAGTTCGTACTTCCATAGTCTATGGGAGCTAGTGGATTTCATTAATACAAACTGATTTCCAGTCAAGGGGTTTCACAGACTTTTCATTGATAAAAATACAGCTCAAAAGCCACTGAATATTCAACCTGTACAGTAAATCTAAAATGTCAAAGAACATTGTCTGTTTTGTTGTTTGCCACAGAAGCTTATGTGTGAAATGAGAACAATTAGCACGCTCTGTTTTAAACTTTAATTTTATGTGGAATTAAGTGGGTTTAGCAGTTCCAAGCACACTTGAAACAGTATGTAAAGTAAAGCTTAGGCTGAGGTTTCTTTGCATTTTTGTAAATGAAAATTGGGATTAATTCCATTAAAGCTGACGAAGTTCTACAAGCATAAAATCAGTATGAAAAAAGCATTAGCCACAGCAACTTTTTAAGAGGTTATTTCCCATGCCACTAAATTATATAGCTCATTGTGCTTAAAAAATATAATTATTTGATATGAACCATATAAAGTTACACTTCAAATAGCTGCAATTACCAAATTTAGTTATTACACAATAAATATCTTCATGCTGCAATTCCTTATTTCTGTATCTGTGATATCCACATATTGCTAATGTTTTTTGCAGACCAGAAGTAATACAAAATTAAGAAAAGTGGAGAGAGGAATGCCAACCAATTAGTAATCCAATATAGGCTGCATTATACTTTCATGAGTAACTGTCACTGCAGCAAGCCTGAAAATAATATATCAGAATAAGGTACAGTTTTAAAACTGAAAAGCACCCTCACACAAAGTTGAAGAAGCCTTTGCTAGCATGTTCATGTTCCTTCTGATTCCTACATATTCCCCTTTTCCACACACATACCCATCTGACTTGGCTGCCATTCAATGCTTAAAGCAGAGAGAACTGGTAAATCTAACTCTTCCCAGAGCTCCAGCAATTACTCTAAGTAGACCATATTCCGCTCCTTTCTCTTCTGCACCTGCTGCTTACATTTAATTGATGTTTTCAAAGGATGAAAAAGAAAGTGGGAACCTCCAACCTCCTCCACTTCCTTCTGGATATCAAAACAAACTCAACATGTTCTTTCCTTCAGTGTCTATCTCACTACCACTTAGCCTGTTGATGCTTTCATCTTTCTAATTTGAAAAGAGGTGGAAGTCAAGTCCTCATAAACGCTCACACAGCTGCGTCTGTCCAGTCCAATGTCCCATCTTTTGCAATAGCTGACGATACACACTTAGGGGAAGAGGATGAAAACCAGGTAATTAACAGTTCAGAAGCCTTCTGAGACAGAGGCAGTACCAGGAGTACGTTTAAAAATATAAATTATAATAGTGGGACTTGTTCTCCTTTTTTTAAACTCTCTTTGAACCCATTTTATTTGTTGACTTCGAAGCAGTGTGTTGCAACAACCAGCAAACTAGCAAGACGTGCTGACACCTCTTCCTAGGCTTCAGCTGCTACCGCTCACGCTACCACCACCTCCCACTTGCTCATGGCTTTAAACCTGCAATCACATCACTTTATTGACTGCCCTCTAGTGCACGTGCTATGGGAATAACAATGCCACAGCCTCCTATTGATTAAAATTAAGGAAATAAGCATTACGTTCCCTGACAGCTGCCTCTCCTAGGAAGCCAGACATTGTACCCGGCTGTATAGTTAAGCCAAGGACGTTGTGATCAATGGTATAAAATCCAGCCAGCAGTCAGTTACCGCAGTGCCTTCAGGCTGGAGCCTCTAGTGTCTAACACCTTTAATAAAGGCTTGGATAATGGGATGGCTTGCAACCACAGCCAGTTTAGGAATGATACCAAACTCGGGGTGCAGCTGATATGCTGCTAATTCAGAGAGGCCACTGCACCCAGGGTAAATGGGCTGCTGGGAACCTCATCAAGTTTAACAAGGGCAAAGGCAAAGTCCTGTGTCAAGGGTGGAACCACCTCATAAAACACTGCAGGCTGGAAGCTGACTAGGTAGAAAGCAGCTCTGTGTTTGACAACAAGCTGAACGTGAGTTAGCAGTGTGCCCCTGGCTTATTTCAAAGGTGCCCAGTAGTAGAGCAAGAGGCAACGGGCTTAAGTTAGAATAAAATAATAAAAAAAATCCCACTAGCTATCAGGAAAAACTGTTACTGTGAGGGCAGCCAAACAGTGGAACAAGGGCCCAGAAAAGCTGTGAGATCTCCATCCTTGGATATAAGACACCCAAAGCCTGCCTGGACAAGGCCCCGAGCAACTGGATTTATTTGGTCCTGCTCTCAGCAGGGATATGGCCTAGGTGGCCTCCAGAGATCCCTTCCCACACAACAGATTCTGTGTTTCTGTGGCTGCTATGGTCAGACCCGAATTGGTGTCTGTACAACAACTATAAGAAGGTGGGGAACGAGTTGCCTCCCCAGAGGGGAGCAACTTCTGTCAAAGGAAGCCCTCTCCTGAGTTTCAGGCTCCATCTAAGCACGGATTAACGACCATAAACCCCTAAGTGCTCAGGACTCAGTACAGAAATAGTTTTACAGAAACCTGATCTTGCCAACAGAAACAGCCATGCAGCACACAGCTACAGCACTCCAGCAGCACAACGATCTTCTGAAGTCTATCAACTTTTTCTTTTTAAACCTTCCGATGTAATATTTTTTAATTAGCTTGTATTTCTGCTTATGGTTGCAAACCTGGTCAGCCACTGCTGTTTGAGTTTCTGGATTCCAGTAAGGGAAGTGAACCATTCTGGTTCATGCTGCCATTTCTTTTCCTATAGCTCTCCACTACACTCCCGGACAATTTTGATGGCACTGGCAAGTTACATGTGTCTGGCTGATTAAGACTTTATGTTACACTTCAAAAAATAAAAATAAAAAAAATGTAGCAGAGCATTCGTTAAATTAATAGGTAGGAATACCTATTTGTGTGATTGCTCTCCCAGGTTTGTTTATGGAGAGATGCATGGAGTTTAAATCCAGAGGCATTATTAGATCACCTAGTTTTACTGCCTGTGCATCACAGCTATCCAGTACATTTATTGCTTAGTTTATCAAAACAAAACAGGGAGGTGCCTTGACTACAGCACGTAAAGTCATATGTGTATTGTCTAATCCCCCCCATGCAAATATGCACACAGAGGATTATGTGTATATTCATATACATGTACACACACACACACACATTCATACTGTTCCTAAAGAAGAGAGAGAGGAAGGTAACCTGGAGCCAAGAATAATTTACTAAAAAAAAAAATAACGGGCTTTGCTTCTCAGCTACATAAGATACAGACTGACACCACAGGAGCTCTCGAAATATAATACTCATATGAATAACACAGAATAGATGCTAAAGGACTTCTGACTTTAATACTAGGTAACGTCATCATTTGGCAGGTGAGATATTTCCCACAGGTCACACGAGTCAACGTATTTATTCCTAGTGAGTTCGCTAATCTCTGCTCTGGAAAGCAGAACTCCTCCACTAGAGCTTCTCCTCCCATCTGATGCAGATAACTCCAGCAATAAGCCCCCAGCGACTGGAACAGATGTTGCTGTTTATTTAATTTATTTATTTTACTAACGCACAGCTGCCAGGGCCAACAAATGAAAAACACTGAATTCCATCAGGATTATCATTTCCAGTGGCTGCATGCTAAGACAGACTCCCTAAAAATGATTATTCTTTAAACAAAGGTGTCAAGCTTAAACTTGAACATGTAATGTCTTTTGATAAGGACTCTCAAGACAATAGTATCTGACAGCTTACATTCTGTAAATATACAAGTTCTTGGGTGTGCAAATGGTAACTGATTCTCAGAGATGAATATGTACAATGAATGTTGTACAGTTAGGCTGTATTTCTGTAATTGTAAGAGACCAAGTTCAAAATGAGCAACACAGCACTATGCAATCTGACCTAGGATTACGGGGATACTAACTGTGCATTGTTTTCTTTTGCATAGTATAGATTGCAATTATATGCAAGTTTCCTTTAATGCAAGTAAAATATTACAGAATCTTGTTTTTAGGAGAGAAGCCTAAGGAAAAAAAAAGAGGAAAAGAAAAACAACTCAATAAAAATACCCTAAAAAAGGCTGCTGAAGGGCAAATTCCCTTGAATTAGAATTCAGACTATTTCAGGTTCTCTATTTTGCCTTCATCAAGACAGTACTGGCCAGATTTCCAGCAGCAGTGGCACTGCCTAGCTTCCAGATGCTAGAATGAAATTTGTAACTGAGTTACAGGTTCTACACAGAGTGCATGAGGAGAGCTAAGCCACTTAAAAAGACCATCCAAATAGCCTGCCACTGAGCAGGGAGCTCTGTCTAGAAGATAGACAACACACAAGAGTGCAACTGCAGACCTGCCCTTTCTGAAGATTCAGTGTATGAATTAGAGACTAGAAAATGGAGATTTTCATTTAGTTAACGCCCAGAGTCTAGAAACTGCTCTTAGTAAGAAGCAAAGAGACTTTTCTCTCTGCAGAAAGGCATCTGTAAAGGAGCCGCTCTTGGCCCTAGAAATAGTACACTGAGAGATCATTTGCCTACAAAATAAAAGAGTAAGGTTTAGTTTTTCCTCATCCCAAGAAATTCAAACTGACATTTCCTTCCTTGCTTCAGTATTTCTTACCCAGCAATTTACACAAAGTGGGAGTCTTTTGAAGCAGGGGTATGCTGCAAAGTGCACCAGGCTGGGAAGAGCAAGCAAGTGGAGCATGCATATGCCACCTGGCAGATAGGAACTCAGCTCTCGAAGGGAGAGAAGGAGACTTGGGGCCTGGTCTTTGATCCTAACACTGTTTATGCATTTCATTCAATGACTTTGAAATGTGAAGGGTTATGAGAAGTTCTCACCTGCAAGATTTTTCTCTCTCTCTCTCTCTTTATTTTATTTTATTTTATTTTATTTTATTTTATTTTATTTTATTTTATTTTATTTTATTTTATTTTATTTTATTTTATTTTATCCCCATAGGATTTTGTTTTAAACAATTTAGCCACCTACTGATGGTGATCCTTGATCCTACCTCTCCAAATGGCCATTGGCCTCCATTTCAGCAAATTGCTCTGGATTTCAATAAAAGTTCCTACTGAATACCCTGCAGAACAGGGAGGGACCTTAAAAATATGAAGCTTTAGGACTGTGAACTTGCTGGAAATCATACATAATGGTTCTCGTCTTGACTATTCTCTGTCTCTTTCTGTGAGTCTCTAACTGCCCTGAGAGTTTCTAGTAATTAACCTTGCACAAAGATAGGTGCCCAACTTTTCTCTTATACTATTTATTTGGCATAAATAAAATTGCTATTGGTAAAAATGAGAAAAACAAATTTTCAAAAAATAAAGACTTTTCTCAGTTTACTTTATAATTATGACTTAGCCATAAACTCTGAAGAGAAGATAAGCTATAATATAAAACATTAAAAAAAAACCTCAATTTCCAAGAAAAAAATAAATCTGTACATCATGTGCAAGAAACACAAAGCAGTTTTCCTCCTTTGCAAGTACCGTTTCTCTCTCTTATTTTTTCTGTAGAAAGTAGTGCCTCCTGACTTCACAAACTATCTGACAATGGTAAAGAATCACTTTATTCCAGACCTAAGGAAGGAACAAAAAAGAACATGCAGAGGAACAAAACACTACTAGGAATTACTCTCTGATTCACTATAGATTTTTTGTCTAGCAGCTGAATACCTCATCTCGTGTCTAGAACTGATTCATTCATAGAGGAAATCAGTATTCATATGCTCACATAAAAATGATACTTAATAATATTTCATTGTATTTTAAGTGGTGTAAGAGAGACGTGCGGACTTACGAGATCTTTCATTGCCTGTTTTCTTTGCATCTTCAGGCATGTAGATGGACAGAAGTACTATTCAGAGACCAGTAGCACATGCAGTACGACAAATTCTTTCTTTACCGTGCCTTAGTATCAATTTCCTGTGGGTGCAAAGTCATGTTAGTTCAGGAAAAAAAAAATCTAGAATGTCCAACTTCACATCTGGCAAATGGGCTTAATGCAACACAGACCACAGGATTTTCCTGTATCGCAGGTAACCTATTCCCATTACCAGTAGCTCAGCGATTAGACAGCCTCCCAAGAAGGTGGTCTGTCAAGAGGACAAAGCGGAAGGTTTTATGAGAGCAGACAGAATGTCACTTTGCAATGGCAAAGTAGTAGTGAAAACCTGGGGCTGGGGGGGGGGAACTTTATCAAAACAGGGAGAATACTCTGCAGGTATCAATGAGTGCCTGTTTCTCTAAGGAATTGACATAGATCACGTTGTAATTAGCTGAGATTAGGCCTTTTATCTGAGTTCAATGGTGCTATTCAGGTCTACTAAAATATTCCCTACTGATCAACTGTCAACACTTTTTTTTTTTTTTTTTTTAAATCTGAGATAATTAAATGATTAAATCCAGCTTGTCTGAGGTGACTTTCTAGGGGGCAGGGACAGAACACCAGGATTTTTTTGCACTATTGACTACATGTGACATATGGGCAGGTTACAGGTTATGGAAGAGTAGCTTTGGCACTGTTTGCTTAAATACCATGTTAGCTATAATCACAATCTGTTTAACTAGAAAAGTATAATAATGCTGATAACCTAATTTTTATTAAGAAATGTAGTTCTTGCTTGAAGCTCCCACTGGACCTTGGAGGATAATTTATAATTAGAAAATCAGGACTAAACCACTGCTCTTCCTCTAGGGACATATTTTTGTTAAATATCCTTCAGCTGTATTCTTAAGGTAAGCAATTTGCTAGGGGCCAGACATAAATCTTTGCTGGCAGGGATGGGTTAGTAAATCCAGAAGAAATCTATAACAGCCTGAAGAATTTTCTGTCCTGAAACTACCTTGAACTGGTAACAGCCTATAGAGATAGAAGTAGTTTTGTTTGTTTGTTTGTTTCTGTGGGAAGAGAGACTTTATTTTAAAGAAGTTATCAGTTGTCCTCCTCCTTCCTAAGTACACAGCTTGAAGGATTTACAGCACAAGTCCAGGACTCAGCTCTGTGTTTTCAAAGCAGAAAGAGAAAAACAGAATTTCTGAATAGGACAAAGGCAAGTTCTCACATAATGCTGAGGATATTGCAGCATATGCTTTAGACCCATACTCTCAAACAAAACAAAAAATAAAAGAAAAACAACACAAGAAGGTTTTTAGAACCATAGTTTCACACGTTCCTTATGCTGATTTATGTAGTCCCACCTCATTCCTGTACGCACACTGCTTCCTCTTTTCTGTCAGGGTGAGGATTTATATGGTGGCACGTGAACCTGATCAGAGACCTGATCCATGTCTAAGCTAACCATAGAAAAAGAGGGTTAATTTTAATCTGGATCAGGGAACTGATCTCATTTATTAAACAGCTGCATAAATGTTCTGTGCCAGGATGTTTAGGGAGAGACAAAATGGGTGAAGAAAGGCAAGATTACTTCTTTTGATAGCAGTGCTGACCTGTGCCATTTTATAGCATATGAGAAATTGCAGGCTATAAGTGGACTGACTTTTGGAGCACAATGAATTAACTTATTCTCAAAATTAGTGTCAGGCCCTTACAGTGTATCATAGATAACCAAATCTGGTTTTAAAAAGGAAAAATAATTTTGTTAAAGGAACAGTGAATTTATTTTAATTTGTCTCATAAATCGCTAATTTATAGTGGTCAAAGGTGAGTTTTTTTTAACTAAATGCAGGTATAAAACTTCTTTAATAAACTTTCTTTTATTTTAAGAAGTCCTCTTGGAATGAGTAAATCAAAAAATACCAATTAGATGAGTTTATGAGATCTTTTAAGATGTTTCTGTTCATCAGAGGACAGATATTTCAGAATGTATTGTTTCTTTTTCTTAGCAGACAAATTGTTATTTCTTATTCTTTATGGATCTCATATTCATCAATCACAAACACATTGCTTAAGTACTGAAAGTTAACATTAATTTCCAATCTACATGGATATTTTTATTAGTTACCAGTCTAGCAAAGTATCTGGATTCTATTCACGTAAGTAAAACATTTATCTTTCATGTAGTAATGATTTTAGAATGGCATTACACTGTGAGTTGTGTGCTGAAGCAAAATATCTGCAAAACTATCACAAAGCAAAGCTTGGGGACATCTTTGAACATTAAGGGATAAGCATGGTTTATATCTTTCAGATGAAGTACGATTTAGGTAGAAGTAACTGATGATTTTTCATAAGCATTTAAAATAGTGTTTGTCTTTCTTTGTATGAAGGTTTTAGGGTATGTACAGAGAAAGATCTTAAAGAACCTTTCTTAAGATCTAAAGCAGATTTTATTTTTTTTCTTATTGCTCACAGAAGGTGTGGAAGAAAGGCTCTACCATGGCATTTCACGTGACTTTGAACACATGCCCATATTTCTCTCTGTTCCTAAACAGATCATTTTTATTCTCTAATACTTTTCCTGGAAAACAGAACTGTCACTAAGAAGCAAATGTAGTACAGGCTTGTTTTACTGAGGTGATATCTACAACACATCAAAGAAAACCTGCATCTTAATGAAACTGTTTCTATTTCATGGATTCTCCACTGGTAGCACACCTGAAGCTTGTAGTTGGAGAGTACAGTTAAATTTTTTGCACAAAGCACACTTAAAGACATGTACCATACCAAAAATGGTGAAGAAATTTACAGTAAGAGAGCTCTTCTAAAACCTGTCTGTTTTACACTTGCCAATCTACTTTGTCAATTTTATTTGCAAAATGAAAACTGTCCCTGGGTCACAGAAAGGAGAAACTTCATGGAATTTCTTTAGAAAGCTTGATCTTTCCATAGAGTAAAACCAGTGCCCAAAAGTATAACCACACATGTTGTTATATTCTCTAACTACTATAAATACAAATTCAGCTGTAATTATTGCTTAAACTTTACTAGACGCTGTACACTTGTCCTGATGACACAACATTCAAGACAGGCATATGCTGTTTGCTAAAAACTTGCATTACCTTTAGTTCTTGTAACTCTCCTGTCAGTCAGGTATTATGCCTCTTACTGTTTTATCTTGGTGAAGTATTTCTTAGATGCTAAGAATGCCTTCGAAACAAAAAGGGCCACTAGGAGGATTAGCAGGAGTTTGTGATAAGCCATCTTTACATTTCCATCTCTTCCATCTAACTGTGTGATAGAACAGCCTATCTAATGATTAAGAGATAGGGATATAAAGGGACAGCTATCTTGGCTTCCACCTAACTACCCCATGAAAAATAATTATGGAGTGTTTTTGAAATGCTTACAGCAGCAATAGAAAGAAATGAAATGGATTTTATCAGCATCTGTAACAGATCCTGTTGCAGAGGCTTACTCCTTAATGATCTACTTATGATGAAGGCATCTGTGCGCTGGCTGGCAACTCCCACGCTGCTGAGACTGAGCAATTTAAACAGAAGTATCCTCTCAATTTCTGCTAGAGTCCTCTAGACACTTTTACCAAATTCCCAAGCTGGCTTATGCTCTGCTGTTGTAGGCAGATGCTGAATGCCACCTACCTGTGAATCCAAGCGCTATGGCAGCACGCAGAAGCTGTTTCCTGAACAAATGGTAAAGAATATTGTATCTAACATAGAAATACATGTCTCCAACAGAGAAGTAAACTACCAGAGAGGTGGGCAACATTCATTCTGGATTCAGACTATGAGGATGTTTTGGTACCTCTGCTGAGCACTTCTACCACAGCATGTACAATTAAAGAATAATGTTGAACTAACAATTCATCTTGCAGTTCTGAAAATAATAAACAACAGGAGAAGAGGGAAGAACTATAATCTCTGGAATGGCTGCTTCCTCCCCCACCTCGCTCCAAAAACTTAGATTTAGTTTCAACATGTCAAGATATTTAAATTCTTCCAGTTATTCTAAGTGGAGGAACCTGACTCAAGTTAGTTTAATTTCTGACTGGATTTTTGGATGTTGGCTTTGTCCTGGGTTGGGAAATCTTAACTCCAGCATACCTAGGTGTGAGTTAGTTTGTGAGGACCTACGTAGTTAGCAACCTTAGTAAATTATTCTTTAATTACATAGTGCATTTGGAGAGAACACTTCCTGAGCTCACAGAGAATACCATTACACTTGGTAAATTATATTATATCTTTATGTAAATGAGCAGTTACTCTAATAGGCCAATGTCTTTTCCTATTTGGAGTCATTAGCAAAATCACAATCAGTACACTGACAGTCTAATTAATTCATTTGAAGCCTTAAAAAAAAAAAAAAAAAGGAAGACAGCAAACCATGCTTAACTATTCACCAACAGCAGTCTACCACAGTTAAAGGATAGAGAAATACAAGCTATAGCTAACATCATTGGGAAACTACCGTTAATTTCTAATTCTTAATTGTCCTGGGCTGGATTTAACAAGGCTGTTGGTATTTCTGGTTTGCTGCTGTTTCATGAAGGAGAAGTCAATGGCACGAAGCTGGGTGCCTTCTTTGATCTGTGGGTCAGCCTCTTCTCACAGATAACTAGCAATAGGACGAGAGGCAATGGCCTCAAGTTGTGCCAGGGGAAGTTTAGGTTAGAAATTAGGAGAAATTTAAGCAGGAGTAGTCAGGCATTGGCATGGGTTGCCCAGGGAGGTGGTAGAGTCACTGTCCCTGGGGGTGTTTAAGGAAAGGTTGGACTTGGTGCTTGGGGACATGGTTAGTGGGTGACATTGGTAGGGGATGGTTGAACCTGATGATCTGTGAGGGCTTTTTCAGTTTTTGTGACTTCAGGCTTCAGTTCCCCCTCCAACTCCTCACAGGGGCACAGGCCCTGCAGGCCTGAGGTGACTCACCGAGGAAAGAGCCCTTGGGAGGCAGCTGCTGGCAGAAACGCACCCCGAGGAGCACCAGCACTTGTGCAGGCAGGCAGGCAGTCGTGTGCTGCAGCACCAGCTAAGGGAAAAGAAGAAAAAAACACCAGAGGTGCGTGTATAACACTGCCATCTAGTGACGCGCATAACCGGGGCCACCTTCCCTCCGGGGGCACAGCCGTAGAGCCCCAGAGCCATGTGCTGTGCGTTGTTATTAGTATTTTACTGCCGTCCCGAGGCTGAAGGACCCTTCCCCAATGCCCCGAGCCATCCCCAGATCCCCGGGCCGCCTACAGGCGCCCTCCCCCGGGCGGAGGCAGGAGCGGGCGGCCGGCAGGGGGCAGCGCGGCCGGGCCTGGCGGAGCCGGGCAGGTGGCGGCTCCTCCCCGCCCCGCCGCCCTGACTCAGCCGCACGGCCCCGCTCTGACACCGGCCCGGCCCGGCCCTGCCGCCGTGTGGAGGGGGAGCCGCCGAGCCAGGTAGGGGCTGAGGGGGGCCGGTTGCGCTATGTAGGTCACGGGAAATCAGGCCGGCCCGGCATAATCCCCCTCCGCGGGCTGGGCGCAGGGAGGGGAGGGGAGGCTGGGCGCGACCTGGCTGCCAAGTGCCCTGACGGGAAGCCGGCCGGGACGGGGCGAGCGGCGAGGTGGGAGCCCGGGGAGGGCTCCTGGCTGCCCCGGGAGGGTTTTTTTTTTTTTTTTTTCCCCTCACAGGTGTGATAGCAGCGTGTTTCTCACTTGGCTTGTTGGCTCTCTGACCCTGTCCGTAGGTTGCCGGTTGGGGTTCGCACTTCTCCGTCAGCGCTCCGGTAATACCGACCTGTTTTTTTTTTTTTTTTTTTTTTTTCTCTCAGGAAATTCCTCGCGTCAGTCACTTAGGAAAACTTACAAAGGCTCCTTTGGGTGTTCTGGGGCGCCACAGCAAAGCGAGGGGCTGAGTTTGCCTCGATGAAGTGCCTGCCGCCTGCCCTCAGGGCAGCGCTGGGCGGGCAGGGCGGCGTGAGGCGGTCCCGGGGCCCTGTGGGGACGGTGCGGGGACGGCCAGGGGGCTGTGAGCGGGGCCGAGCTGTGCTGCTGGGGCTCTGCCACATCAGGACCTGTGAACTCTGAAAACTGAGAAATGCTGAGGCAGGCTTGGCGGTGTTCAGAGGTAATATTTCGCTCTGATTTCCTCCTTCTCCTGCCCAGCGCCTGTGATTGGTCTTCTGATCATCCCAGAGGCAGATAAGAAGATAAATACCTCCAAATGAGTGTTATTTTTATACATTGTCATACTTTTTAAGCTGAAAAATACTGCAGAATCTGCCTCTGCATTTGCTGTCCTGATATTTTCCAGTGATCAGCGTGAAACTCTGACGCTGCTCCAGAGTCCGCAGTGGCATTTTTCATCCATACCGCAGGGCTTGCACCCCTCCTCGGAGCCCTCAGAAGAATTCAGGGCCTTATTTCCTTGGCAGCGAAGCGTGATGTTTTTATCTTGTTTCGTTTTCAGATTGAAGAGGGAGTGGTAATAAACTCTTTGTTCAAAGAGCTCTCTCACATCAGTGCAGTAGTAGTGCTAAGCCATGCGGTTCACACCCATGCTTTTGGCCTGTGCTGTTTTTGTGTCATAACTTCTAGAGGTAAATCTTTTAGAATTAAGGGTAATTGGAAGGGGATAGAACACCTGAAGGAGTCAAGTCAGATTAGGATTTTCACGTTATATGTGCTGCCTTCAGCTGGGCTGTATATAAAGAGTCCACCTGCTCTGAAACTAATCTAGGAATTAGGTCCTGATGCTGTGATTCATGTCTTCCTTGCTGGCTGTACGTTAATAAATGTGGAAGGTCAAAGGAGGAAGAAAAGACAGAAAACCTTATAATCTGCTTTGTAAAGTATAAATAGTTGCAAAGGGCAAGACTGTACTGGTGATGTATCGGTGTGAGGATGGCAGTTGCAGTTGCGAAGCTGTTGAACATCCAGATGCCTTTTTCTGTGATTCATCTCAATCAACACAAATGTTTCAGTTGCCTTCTGCAAACAGCTATTTTAATCTATTTGCTGAACCATGAAGACTGACAATATATACTTTGAAAAAATAAGTGAATTGTATTAAAATGATGACAGCTGAGTTGCTAAAGCCTGTAAAAGAAACATAACTCCATTTACTTTTTTTTTTTTTTTTTTTTAGACTTTACTGTCAAAGCGATATGGTGGTTATGGTAAAAATTAGGTTATGCTCTGTGAAGGGTGTTTTTTTTTTTTCCCTCTGAAGTGGGATGTGGAACTTGATATAATCCAAAACTTTGAGCAACAAAATTGGAGAAACTGCTGCTGGCATGATTTTATTCAATCATGATACGAAGCTGAGTTTTAGAAGTCTGTCTATGCACTTTCTTTTTAAAAGATCATACTAATGCATTGAACCCTGCTAAGTGTAAGTCTTCAGACTTACAGACTCAGTACCATCTGAATCACCAGTTTCTCTGTTAAACCCTTCATTGAAGGGTTATCGAGATTACTTTGATGTACATCAAGTTTTAAGGCTGCTTTAAAAAAAAAATAAATATATATATATATCCAAGGGTGGAACAGCAGCCTGTAAATATATCTTTATTAGTATACAAATGGTACTTTTTGATGTTTGCAGAATGTTTCATTGCAAGAGCTTTTAAAATTTTAATGAGGTTTATGGAAATTCAGTATAGTTCTTAATGTCTGAGTTGTGTACTTAAGCCTTTGACAACGCAGGTCTATATGTCCTGGTCTTACTGTGACTTGTAGTTTTCTCAAACATTTGAGAGAGATGCGCTCTGTTCTCTCTGTGCTTTACAACATGTCTAGAGCATTTGGCATGTTTGTGTTTGCTGTGTGTCCCTGAGAACAGGGCTTTTCAGACCACATGTTCCACTCATCCTTTTTCTAATAGTTTTAAAACTATATTTTGGTTTACAGACACTTAAACTCTAAGACGTGCTAAATTTTTTTTCAGCCACAAGTGTTCTCTCTATTTAAACATGCTGACACAGCATTGTTGGCTTAGTTGTGAGGTCTTCTCAGCCTAACCAGATAGTCATTTAGTCTAAGACTGTCTGACCTACCACCCAGAAAACAAATGTATTCTGTACTCTTATTTAGCACCAAGGAAAGAGGGCTTCCAGGAAGATAGAGCAAAACACTGATTTTTTGTCTTGCAGTCTGCTCCATGTAGCTCCTCTAACATATGGTGTATTTCAGGTGGTGTTGTCACATGGCAGTAGATGCCTATACTGATGTTTATAGATGTTTACAGATGAGTTTATAGTTGAAATGATGTTTATAGATGCATTTTTACTGCTCTGATAGTGTGGACGTGGGATAGGCTACAAAGGTCTGCTCTGGTGAAAAGCTGGGGCAATAATGACCTGGAAATTCTGAATTTTTGTCTTCGTTGCAGTACAGCATCGTGACAAAATAAAGGCTTCTGATATTCTGTCAGAATTATACCTTTAAAAAACACATACAAACACGCTCCAGTACCTTGTCCTGATTGGATTCATCCAATTGAAAGTTAGAGGTAGGACTTCAATCTGTCTTGTAGAGCAGGTCAGCTAGACTTGGATCAGGTCTGAACACTGACTAGGCTAAGCTGAAAGAATTGTTTTGAATGCACTTTTGAATGCATACAGCAAGAAATGGTGCTGTACATTATGCAGGAGTAATTATTCCATCCATCAATATATTTTTGTGGTGTTGATTGGCATTTGGAGGTGCTGCAATGGTAATAAAGCATTCCTAGCTCAAGTTAGTGTTATCAGGACTAAGGAGCTTTCGGGAACATATACTGCCTTACTGTTTTATGGCATTGATCGTAAGACTTCTTATGACTGCATGTAGTTATCTTCTGGTAAAGGAGTCATCTTGGTGGTGTGGTAAGAGTACTTTCACTTTTAAATCATGTGGCCAGAAAATGCTTGTCAAAGGTTGATTCTGAAGGACGCATCCAGGTGAGGCAATTCAGTAAGGAATGAAAGCAGATCTTCTAATAGTGGTTGAGGATCAGGACACCTGAAGGCATCATCTGTGAAAGTGTTACCTTTGTGTCTAGTGGGATTAGCTTTAATTGGCAGAGAAAAGTTTGGAAATGTGACACAGATACAAGGTGCAGGAGGCCTGAAACCACAGTTCCATACATACCAAGTAACACTGTTTTTTTCCTCCAGAATAAACTGTCACCTGAAAAGGAGGGATGAGGGTTAGGCTGTGGGAGGTGTACTTAGGTCTTTGATTTGCTTTGTTCTGTCTCTGAACTAAAGGCAGCGTGTTTTCCTGGCAGTTGCAATATTTGTCCTGGAATTTGTTCTGCTTCGTACTGTGGTGGCTCCCCATGGGTGCACAGGGACGTTATTGAGAAATCGATGACTTCTAAAAAGGAAAAAAAAAAAAAGAAAAAACGTTCAAGTGTGAAGTAATACTGAATTGCCCAAGTGTACTGTGACAGTTAATTCTGGTCTCATCATGATTAGCATTATAGAGAACATGCTATCTGCTTCTGTAGGGAAATAGATAGCTAAATAGTGCTAAAAATGCTAGGTAAATTACTATTATATATTTTTGCTGTGTTATTGCAGGATAGTCAAATGTCATCATTGTCCCTTGTACCTCTACTCAAGTCTCCAAATAGCATGACAGACGTTGTTGTTTTATTGATTTGAACAGTTGCATGCCTTAGTATAAGTTGTTTGGTTTGAAAAAACAAAACAAGCTGTATGGTAATAAAAACATGTGCTGGGATCTTTGCGTAAGTAACTTGCTGAGAGACACTTGTGCCCTTTCTCCTCCTAAGTATTGTGCATTTTGAACAACTTGCCTGTGTTGTTTATCAGTGGAGGGTAGGATTTATTTCTGTGAAACTTTCTTATATAAGTAGCTCTAATGTAGTCACTGTTGTAGTAATATTTTAATTTGCCTGGGGAGCTGATAAAGTGATGCCAGCAAGAAAGCTCCAAGCTAGAAGGATTTCCTAATGTACATAAAAAAAACAAAACACTGGCACAACAAACAAACAAACAAAACCCCTTTAAGCTATTTAAAAGACCTATATGCCAGTAAACTTTTGAATTGTAAATTAAATTTAACTGCTGGCTGTCTACTGCGCTGCTGGTTGGAGAGCTGAACTGCTGAAAAACCAATCCCAACAGGACTCATACAATCATTAGTAAAACCTCACGTACCCTGGTGCAGGAGAGAAAGTGTATGCTGAGGATATTGCATTTTTGAGTTAGTTATATCAACTGCTATTATTGATATATTTATAGTAACTAAACCATTTTTTTCAGGTGTTTGTTTTTGACACACACAACAGAGCAACAAATGAGAAACTGCCATGGTGTAGCCAGGTCCAAAAAAGTAGCGTGGATTTTTATTAAATTACTTTAACTCATTTTGATGTGGCAGGTTCTTGCCCTGTTGCAGCACATGTGAAAGGCAGAGATAATTTGGCTTGCTGCTGCAATGCTGTACTGGTATTGGTTATATTGAGAGTAGTGTTTCTGTAAGCATGTATTTTGAAAGTATTTGGGAAGAAGGGAGTATGAGTAGGGAGGTGCTGATTTTATTATCACGTGTGCTTATCTTATTCCACTGGACCAATCTGCTGTGCATAGCTGTGCTGTTTCCTCCCTGGAGTTTTGCGGCACTTAGACACTTTGCCTGTGCCATAAACGTGTTTTAGTATGGTGCCATAAATTCAGAATGTATTCCCATAAGAAAACCTATGGAGGACAAAAGCTCATTCCCCCTTGTGAGGAACTCCTTAATTACTACTCCAAGCACAGAGAGATGTGGATGCATTTCAGAGACAAGGGCTCTGTACCCTTCTGCATGTGACCTGGAATTACTTTATGTTGTCTCCCATATGTGCCTGAGTGAGGTACAGCTATGACCGGTGCTAAGCAGCCGAGTAATTTTCTGTAAACCGTTACTGCCTTCAAAAAAAAAAAGGGTGTGTTGCTCTTTGTTTGGCTCTGACGTTGTTTAACCCACCCAAATGCCCTTGGGATACCTGTGGCATGGTCTGGGAGCAGCACTCCTACTGGGACTTGACTGACATTTGAAGGTAGTGGTGGTGGGTTCATGTAGTCTGTTGTTTTGAGGGAATCTTGTGTTTTTTCCTTTTTTTTTTTTTCCAATAGTTAGTCATTTTGCCATTCAGTTCATAGTCAGTTATCACATTTGGAATTGCTAGGTCTAAGTGGGCAATTTCCTTTCTGAATTCCTGACTTGCATTGAGATTAATTATGCTTACCCGCTTGGACTGGTTTCAGGTAAACAACTGGAAAGTTCTTTATCAGCTCCTTGAAACATTTTCATACGGCGAGCAGCACGTAAAGTGGAAATACTACGTTCTCTTAAAAGGAGGGGAAAAAAGCAAAACAATTTCCCCTCAGTGATTCCTGTTCTTAATGCTTTGGTCCCAGCAGTGTGAACAGCACTGGAAGACGTTAGTGCGAACCGGCTGCCAGATACCACAGAAGTTTTATGGATGTCAGTGGTTACATCTGCCTTCAGCAGTTTTTTGCTGGCATGATTTTCACAGTGGTGATCTTTGCCAGGAACAACCCAGTGCTCAGGGGTTCCTGACTTGCTAGTGCCGATAGGAGAATGGAGGAGGTTTTGCAGAATTCCCTAGGCTGCATCAAGCTGGGTTAGTTTCACTTTGATGCTGGTGGAGTCCTTGGGTTTAGAAAACCTTTTTCTATTTACAAGAACTTCTATTGAGAAATATTTATTTAAATATTCAAAGAGAAACAACTAAGGCATTTAGCAAACATTGCCTTTATGATGTGTTCTGTTTGCAAGTTATGTCTCATGTCGGTGACGTTGTTTTCAGCAACCTGTTAATAAAATGGGTTAATTGGAAGAGTTAAGTGATATCCACCACCCAATACTGAGGACGTAGGGGCAGAGGTGAATGCTGGTGATAATGCTCTTCAGTAAATGGACTGCTGTGGCTGAGGGAGTAGACAAAGTTGTAGGCACCCAGACCTGGTTTCTGCTGACATTGAAGGCAGCTCAGTTAAAATGCCTGAATTATTTGACCTTTGGTGTATATAGAAGTTATCTGAATGCTTTACCAGGCATTAAGGTTTCTTTTAGTCTTTGCCTATAAGGAAGAAAATTGTTAGCGGAATTTGTGGCTTGTATTTGCATGAACATTTCCCATTAGCCTTCAGTGAAATTCAACAGCATTTGAATTACTTCATGTGCAGATACATTTTAAAAAGTTAAATGAATTAAAGATGAATGAAATGTTATCTGATTCCTCCTCTTGACAATTTAAAACTCTAAAATGATAGCAGTCGCTCGCATTTCATGGATGTTGTATTAGTTTGGGAAGTGCTAAGCTATGCATAGCTGAAATCCAGGACTTGCTGTACGTTCTTATCATTGCCGTAGCAGGTGCATGTGCAGCGATTCAATAGGTGGAAAGTTACTGAGTGATTTTGAAGCAGCAGCAAGCGTGGGGGATAATGCCTTGTTGTATTGGCAGGAAGGCCTGTTCCTTTACTAATGGTGATATTTGTACCGATTTTTGGCAAACATTTCAAGTAACAACAGTTGAGGTTTAAAGGAGGCGTCAACCCAGCAGCAGCATTTCAGGAGCACTCAGCACTGGGTGCAGTGACGAAAGGCTGTGACAGAAGATAATGTGATCCAAGCGGTTATCATGCCACAGTACTTTCAAATATTCTGAGATAAAAATATTACTTATTCAGGAACAGGAATATTGGGGTCTGTGGCATCAGGGAGTTGAAAGAAACAGTTGCAGGCAGAATAAGCCTTTCTGTGAAATAAACCAAGGGATTTTTAGAAAGCCAGACTTGAGTCGAGTGGGGTCAACATGAATCTTATCCACTCTTTCTGTGTGTTAAGAGCAATAGAAGATGACACAGGAGAGAGATTGTTCCTTCGGGAAATTATGTTAATGCAGAAATAGAAACTATTCCTCCACAGGGGAAACCAAAAAGCAGTGAGAGGCTGGTTTGGCTCCCAGTGAGCTCTTTAACATCAGACACAGCAAGGAGGGTAAGGGAGTCCTGGTAGTTGGAGTAGTTGGGTTAGTATGGGCAAGTGTAGAGTTAGAGCACAAGCACGTGATCCTAAAATGCAACTCTCAGCCTGACGAAGATTGACAAGAAGTCGTTAGAGAAATATAACGATAGTGAAGAGCAAGACAAGGAAGGTTTGCTGCTCTTTGAAGACTAGAGCTCTTGACAGATAATACAAAGCATACCGAGGTCTTTTTTCACCTCATCCTCTTGTAAGAGAGCCTGGGACTAAGAGGCCAATGTAACCCATGATTGAGGCGAGTGCTACAACCCTAAGCTGGCATGGGGAGGGGACAACTTAAAGAGCACTGAGATAAGTTTAGGTCTGAAGTGTTTAAAAAACATTATTCAAAGGGTAAGAGCTGGCTGATGTAATCCCTGAGTTGCTGCAAATCTTAACTCATGGAGGATGTGTGTAATGCTGGGGTACTGACAAGCAACTGACGAGCCTCTGTTTTTAGAGGGGAGGATAGAAGTGAACACTTGTAGACCCAGTTGTTTAACTTTGTTTATTCCAGTATTTTTCATGGGACTTACATTCTTCTGAAGCACTAGAAGATGACAAAGAAATGGGAAGTAGCCCAGATAATTTTATTTTTAAGATTAAACTGTGTTAGGCTAATACAATTTCTTTCTCCAAAACTCTTAACAGGCCCTGCAGACAGAGGAGGAGCAGTTGATCTCTGGTATCTTCAGTCCTTGTGGTAGAAAATGTCAAAGTTTCACCCTTTTTAAAGAACGTCGGGAGGAACTCACTGTGGGTAAGTGCTGAAGTGCTTGAAAAACAGTTTTCTCTGGCAGCGGACTCAAAAGACAGCGTTCTGTTTTGTGGACTTAAGGACTTAAAGACTTAAAGATTATGGTGGATGAGAAGAATGAGTCAACATGGTTATGGAACTGTAAAATTAGAGAATATCATACCAAGCTATTGTCATAGAATGGTTTAATTCTACCCTCAGTAAAGGGTTTTTTAACAGGGCTGGTTCTTGGGTTGGGTTGAGGTTTGCATAGCAAAAGTATGAGCCCCACTGCTCAGTTCCTTACTTCAAACAGAGTGAGGCTACTTTGAAGTAATTGCTGCCATCTGGTTGTTTCGGCCTGGTCAATGGGAGTGAGCAGAGAAGGCCAGAGGGCCAAATGCATCCTTGCTTCCCCTGAGGTTTGCTTCAGTAACCCTTCAGGACCTGTCTAGTTCTTACTGGGGGGTCCTGTATCTACATCACCTAGGTGAGAATAGAGGTATACTCTGCAAGTTAAGTGATGTAATCTTTATCACCAGTGGAGGTAAGGTCTGAGTTGAGGTAGTTCCCAGTTTTGAAAACGGAGTTGATTTAAAAAGTAATCATCAAAGTACAAACCCATTGGAGGCAGTCTGGAGAAGAACAACAAGAATGCCTGGGAATCTGGAGGAATGACTGGGTGAGCTAAGAGGGTTTATTTCAGCTTCCAAGAGGAGAGGGAGGTAGTGGGGAAATTAGAGTTAGCGAGGGTCTGTCTAAGTATGTGATACACATGTTTTTGTTTCTCCGTGATCTGTTTTGTTTCCTTGGTTGGTCAGACACTTGTATTGACACGTGTTCTCAGGAAAAGTCGTGAATAGTATTAAGAACAGCTGATGTGAGCCTCTGTGAGTTGTAATAGAGACAGGGTGGGTATTGTCACGGCAAAAGGCATCTAAGTGCACCGAATGACTTCGCATGGGTTTTGATTCTTCGGTGAGTAAGAGATGGCTACAGTGGTGCAACGCTATCTGCAAAATGCAGGGAGACTGCAGTGCTGGTAATTCCTTTTCTCCCTGTCTCTGCTTTCCTGTCTTACCAGATAGGGAGGATCCAGAGGATACTAAAGCATTGTGCCTCTTTTTAATATGTTTTTTATTTCTTCCTGCATCAAATGTATGGGCGAGACTTTTAGAACTTCTCATTGTAGCAGTTGAAAAGAAGCTAGAACTCCTTGGTGTAAGACAGCAATGTGAAAAAAGGAGACTGTGGGCATGCCTACACCCACACTGGCTCTGCAGGAGCAAATCCTAGAACAGGGAGTGCTAGGAAACATGGTATGAAGACGCTTAGATTAGCTTTGGAAGCAGTTTAGTCATGTTTGTGTGGCCCTGCTTCCAAGCCACTGTGGTTTTACTGCTTCCCGACCTATGCTAATGTCTGCTTGCTGCCGTGCAGACTTAATCAGCTTGTATTAGTGACAACTTGGCAAACCCTGCCTTTTAATCCACTCTGTGTTGTAAACAGCCCTCTATTGTGCTTCCCCTGTGGCCTATGTTTATTAGGGTGCACTAACTCTTTTCCTTTAATTAATTGTCCACTAACACTGCAAAACAGGGACGGCACTTGACTGTGTGAAAATTCTAGTTTGAGTGCTAGGGATAACGACAGTGAGATGAAACAAAGGCTTTAATTTCATCTGGAAGGTATTGGGCAAATTTCTGAATAGCAGAAGGAAAGCACGGAACTGAGGCAGTCCGGCTACGTCAACTGATCTCTAAATCAAAAGTGAGTAGGCAGAATTTTATTGAAAGTTAACATTTGAGGATTTTTTTTTTTGCTTTATTCACAGAGGTAAGTTTATCAGGATGTATTGCTTCTATGAAATATACTTTCTCTTAATTACCATTGTGTATGTATGAAACAGCTAATTTTTAACAAACTTGCCTTTTAATATTTTAAAGTGCATCTGCTGTTTTTTAGGACTTTGAATGGCATGTATTCCTACTGGGAGTGTTTGTGTTGTTTCATAAATCTGTGGACTGTGGATTCTGGGGTTATTTTCTTGGCTTTCATATGAAGGGGAAAGATAAGGAAAGCAATTTAAATTTCCCAAACCACAAGGCTATGCATCTTTCATAAAATCTAGTCTAGGTAGTGGTGTAGGTTATGATACATGGGATGCAGCGCAGTCTCAAAGGAGAACTTCCATCTAAAATAAAATGCAGTGTAATCCTATGATTATACTCAGCTCAAAATTAATTGTGAAAGGGGATGACTAGCTCTTGGCTACTCACTTCAAAAATCCTTGAAAAGGTTTTTGCCATTCTGAGGATGTCCCGTATCCTTCCTATTAAAAGGAAGTTTGATGGACCCTATGCTGTGGCTTGAAGGAGCACTGAAAACTGTCTTCTGTGACAATGATGTTGACGTTCTCAAGATACAGAATTGAGCATCTTAATTCATGAAGGTTACTGCTATGAATTGACTATCTTTGTGTTCTAAAATTTTAGATCCCTTTCCACTGATTTCAATGAGGATAGAATTTCAGGCTAACGAAACAGCTGATTATGTGTATGTGTGTGTTTAACTTTTTTTTGGTTCTGTTTTTTTTTTTTTTTTTTTAATAGCATTTCTTCCACCATTTCATATCTTCCTCATTTGTCCCAGTTTTCAGAAATGAGAAGGTGGAAACTTGCATTTTCTCTTCCCTACCAATTTACGATAGAGAATGCAGATGTGTATTATTTCTTACTTGGTGTGTGGTTTTATTTGCTTGCTTTTACAAAGCCATGTATTTAGTGCAAAAGCGAAATCTTTGTTCTTCCAAAAATGTTACACAAGGCAAGACTGTACTTGGCAGGAATGGTTTATCAGTGCCTAGAATGAGATCCAAGTGTCAGTGCTCTCTGGAGATAAGGATGTATTATTTTCTACCTGCCAGTACTGAATTCTGTCTGGAGGTGAATAAGAGCTGGTGACAAGTACACTCTGGCAATATTGAGTGATTAATATGACTCTTCTGAGCTATGAGTACAGGAAGCTCTCTGTTTAATTGTAACTGTGCTTTTAAAATTTAATTATGGCTTTTTATGGAGAGGAAAAAAAAAGCTGATTGGGAAATAGAATTTTGTGAAGTAATACAGATTGTTCCTATTTCATATGCTACACTGACTCTCCTGTTGCCCTCTACATCTAAGGTGTGTATTTGTGTGTTTTGTTTGTTTGGTTTTAAATTAATTGGAAAACCAGAGGCACTTAGGTTGTGGATAGGTACTGTAGCTCAATGTTAAGGTTTCAGATGTAGATTTTTTTACATATTTGTGTTCAGAGAATTTTTCAATGTTCTTAATGCCTTCTCTTTAATGCCTGCACACTGACTGTATATCACAGAGAAATCAAGCTTTTGTAGACTACAAAAGAACAGACCTTTGCATCTTGTTTTACTGCCTCAGTAGAGAAAACAAAGATTTATTGCATCAGTCCTGCAGTACTTTGAAGCTGAAACATTGAATATGTTAGGATAATACGGCACCATTCTTAAATATGTCTAATACTGTATTAAGCATAAACTTGAAAACATGCACTAGCCAGCTCAGAAATGTGATTATTCCTCATATGACCATCTTCTTCATTGACTATGTTTACAGTCCCCTGTACCAATTTGCAATTTCAAGCTTGTGATTCTGGATGAGGAATGTCTTTGAAAGCAAAGCTCCCCAAACCGAACTGACAACAACAAAGGACTGCCAAAAAACTTTCACAACCAACAACATTAGATAGTAATTGTTCCCAGAGTAAAGTGGTTCCATGTTGGTGTTAGGTATATATTTTCCTTTCTTTTATTTTGGAGGCACAGACCGGATGAGGATTGCACTAAGGGTGCTGGCAGGAAAGGTTTTGGAGATGATCTGGAGGGTAGACAGATTTGCTGTGGTATCATCTAGCTAGAGAAAATGGGCTGGTTCTGAAGACGACCCCTTTGTTTTAACAAAGGGGGAAAAGATGCTAAAATATTGTAACTAGATTTCTAGTTGCCTCTGTATAAACCTGGTATGATCTTCACTAAAATTCTGGAGCATAAAACAATGAAGGATCTGTTGGGTTTTCTAGTCTAGTCTGTACTGAAATCATGTTTTTATTTCTGCTCTATAAACTGATGGTGTCTTCTCATTAGCTCTTCATTACTGAAGTGGTTTTGTTCACGCTACTCTGATGAGAGAGCTGTTTCAGAATGATCTTAGAAACTGCGGCTCTACTTCAGTCGCAGCCAGTTCGAACTATGATTTCTCGTCCAAAAACTGTACTTATGCAAAATAAATTTTTTCCTCCCGTGATGTATACCTTTTTTAACTGCTGCATGGCTCCTTAAAACAGCATTCTGAAAGCCATTTCACAATTCTAGCTCCTTGCTCATAAGAGGGAAAAACTGACAGCCTCCCTGTTTGGAATTAATTTGTGTTGTCTGGAGGATTTTCTGCCAGACAGGTTAGCAGGATGTCTGTAAAATCCATTTTGAATGCTAAGCACTGTATAAATGAATAGACACCCTTTTCATACTTGCTTTTTCTTGTATGTGTGCGGCCTTGTTAGATGTCAAATATGAATTTAATATAAATGACTCCAGTGTTAACAGAAATGTGTGGATTTCTCCTTCCCCTCTGCGCGCACCTAGCTGGTTTAACAAGATGTTGTTATGATGCATTTCCTGTCTCAATAATTGAGTTTTGTGACCAGCTTCTTGGCAGCACGGCCAGCTTTAGCATTCAGTGTCACGCCACTTCTTTCTGATTTTGCATTTCATGGGTGCAGTGTGTAGCTGTGAAATGACCTTGATGGGTCTAGTGTGGTTGTATATTTATTTATCTCTTTCTCCATGGTTAGTTTTTAGCCAGAATGGTTTCTTAATTGCCCCTGACAGGCTCAGCGTGTGGCACACAAGTGTTTTCAAAGAGCAACAGGGATGGGTGGGTGGCAGCAAGCAAGGGAAATGCGGCTGGCTTCCACAGGGCAGCGAGCACATAACTGATGATGGTTTCAGTGCTTTCAGGGGTTTCTCACTCAGGTGGTGGAAGAAAAAAAGCCTGAAACCACTGGACTTCTCTGTGTGGACTGTCTCATGCTGTGGAATACAGTTCACTGCTACTGCTTCTCTTGTATGTGACCTGAGGGTATATCATCAGAAGGCTTCTTCTCATAAAGGTTTTTGTTGGCCCTCTCAGTTGTTACTCTGCCAGATCTCATTCAATTGTTGGGCAGTTACTTCATATTCATAGAGAAGGATAACTTTCACGTTACTAATTTCTTCCCCTTTCATTGTCTGCAGTAGAAAGCAGACTGAAGGAACTTTTAAATCTAGCTTGTCTGCCAAACAGAGCAGCTACCAAAGCAAGATGTTCTTTGCTGTAGACACATTAATTGCAGGTGAAGTGGATGTGTTTAATAAGTAATGCATAATAGAAGTCTGTCTGCTGAAGTACGAGGTCTCAATTTGGAATACTGGCTGTCACGATAGGCTCTGGCTTGATGGACACAACTCCTTTGAAAAATGGGCTTGAGACTTCAACTTTATTTACAGTGCCGGGTGGAGGCTCCAGTAGCACTGAGCTGCATTTAGGTGATGTGAGTTCTGGAGCGTCCTGCCCATGTGCACTGAATCATTTCTCTTCTTGTTCACACCTATACAGTATCCTCTGCAGGGTGACACTTGCATAATATTCCTGTGGCAACCACAGTAATTGCTAACACGTGAAATCAATATATGGCAATTATCAAACGCACTTCAGCTGTTTCTCAGTGCCCTGCAGACTTCTGGAGAGCAATACTTTGTGACCTACATAGTGTTTATGTAGGTCATAGATCACCAGTGGCACGCCGATGAGGACGCACAAGGCTATATACCAGGATTTTCGTGAGTTGGAATGATTCCTCTTTTTTTCTTTTCAGAGTATCTCCTTGTCATTTGGGCTATGGGATATAAAATAGTTGAAAAGCTCTTCATGAGATGAATATGCGTGTTTGTTCCTAACAGGTACTCTGTAGGATACCCAAAGAGTTCAAGGAGGAAGGACTTGTCATCTCCATCTCTACTTAAAAAATGAGCACGCAAACTTTAGAAATCCTCTTACTCTGAAAACAGAATAAGGGGCAGGGACTGCTAGACTTTGGTTTGTCATTGTGCTGTCTTACTTCACCTTTCTGTGCAGTGAAACTAGTCAACTGACAGATGAAAATTCAGATAAATCTCTCCCAGACCTGATCTACAAGTATGAGTATCATTTGGTTCTTGCTGCAACATTGTACGTGTGCTTTTTTTATGAGATAAGCTGCTTTACAAGGTGGAAAGGGCTGGATATGTGCGTTGCCTCCCCAAGTGGAACTTATTCTCAGTCTGCAAAAAGAGCTGATCAAAGAGCATAGACAGAGGTGTGGTCTGTGTAGCTTGAATGTTTCATATAAGAGTTGGCATCATTTGGGAAGGAGATGTGGCTGTTAATTGCAAGATTGGAATAAGGAACTGGTGTGGATAAGAGAAGTGAAGTTAGATGGCGGGAGCGAGCCCAGTGTGTGGGAGTTAAATGAGATTGGGATTAGTACAGACAAGCTTGCCATTCGTCAGTGTGTTCAGTTTCCAGATCTGTGTTAGTCATACTAGGTAGTCGATTCATGCCATTCAAATAGTGTCATAAAGCAGAACTAGTGTGAAGTGATATTTTCAAGTGATCACTAGTTCCTGCTGTTTGTATACTCCAGTTTTCTTTGAAACTGATTAGAAAGGATAGGAACAGCTGGTAGATAATGTAAACTCTGGTGTCCTGTTTGTTCTTTGTAAAACTCCTAACACTTGCTTTATGAAAATGAACATCATCTTTCATCACGTTTTGATGTAGCATGTGTTTGGTCTTGTCCTTCCCTGTAATACAGCATAGTCAGTCATTCTTCCACCTCGTGCTTGATGCAGTTTGTGCACCTGTGAATGGGAGATTTCTGCTTTGTCAAACTGGAAAGGAAAGATTCTTCTTATACTGACCTGTGCTTCTCTGTAACGGCTAGGGAAACAGCTGGTTTCTCTGCAATATATTGTAGGAGTTCCCAAAGTATCGTATGAAAGGATCTTTATGAAACCGGGGGCTGCAGAAACAATGATGCTTGACAAGTTAAGCATTTAATCTGTTCTGGTTTTCATTGTCTGAAGGAATTACTTGGAAGTTCTGACAGGGCTGTAAACCTGTTTTTATTAAATGCAAATTATAAAAATGTATCTGAATTTCAAGCCTTTTCCAGAGGCTCAGCCACAGCAGGGTGTTTGTCCAGAAGCACTACATGTTCCCAGCACAGGTGGCACTACCTCCAAAATTGAAAGAGTGTCAACTTTGAAATGGACTGAGCTGCAGCGATCTATGTCTCTGTGGCTGTATGGAAGCTCTTGATTTCCCAAGTGACTGTTTCTCCATCAGTTGCTGTAGGTAAGAGTTGTTCTCCAGGTGGGTTGTCATTATTAGAGTTGAGGCCAGTCGGTTTTCCTGATAGAAAACAAAGGACCAGAACCTGTTTAGACTGTATTCCCATCTCATTGTGTAAATTAATTTATAGCAGGTGTACAGCTTTCAGTGACTTGTTTCTTCCTTACCAGACTTAAAATCTAGTTAGGTTTATGGGCAGGCAACATGTTCACTGATGGTAGAGTAATAGAACTAATACAAACTGTCTGTTGATCCTACTGTGCTGGCTCCAGCCATCAGTTTTACTAGTATGTTTGAGATCTTCTTGGTTTAGCTAATGATAGCAAGAAATGTTTTTTTTTTTTCTTATCATTAATTTAAGAGCTTGAGTTTCTAGTTGAAGTTTATCCATGATAAAGATTTTGGTACCAGTTGATAATCAGAAAATATTAATGCATTTGAAATAAGTGTGTTTCTGTGTATTTTTGTTTTCAATTAAACTCCTTTAAGGAAATCTTTCCTAAGTCCAGGTTGGAATTTCAGAATGGAAAAGACACAAAATACTTTAAAACCTCTTTTAAGTTACTTCGTTTGTATGCAGGATATTAGGATAAAGCTTCCTTTCAGCTAAATTCTGTTTGTTCGTTTTTTTTTCCTGGTGAAAGATTTGTAAGGCTTTGAGGTGTGATTTAAAAAAAAAAAAAAAAAAAAAAAAAGTAGAAAATTTATGAAGATTTAGCCTTGTGGGGAGGGAATATTTTCTTTCTTCCCAGCAATGAGTTGTGTCATAGGAGCAATCCAGTGAAAATTTTGGTTTTTATCAGTTATGTGAATTGAGTGTTAAAGGCTAAGGTTCTGTTCTACTGATGTAGGTAATTCTTAAACTGCCTCAAGCTTCACAAAATGTTAATAGAAAAGAGCTAATACATGACTTAGATTTTATACTTTAATAGGATTCCTATTTGCAGGCTACTTGGCATGGCCTTTTTTTAGGAGCCAATGATGTGCTATAAATGATTTAAATAGTTCTTATTGTCTTATCTTCCATCGCTATATCCCAGTGTATGAATTTGCTCTTACTGTGGTGCTGGGGGATAGGTCCATAAAGGATGCATTTATCTGGAAGCACAAAGGTGTGTACATTACTTTAGTAATGCGTAAGACACGATCTTTCTCAGTTCAAGACAAACAAGGAAAAAAACTTGTGTGTGTATCACATAATCAGGGCTATTCATTCCAGAGTTTCAGGGTGTGTCATAAAAAATGTTTTGTCCAACCATCTTGACTTATTTGACATTACTTGTGTCTCAAGTTTAATTAAGTTTTATTATTTTGTCCTGAAGAATTTATGCACAGTGCAGTAAAGTTAACGGTGTGTAATGATAGGTGTGACAGGACACTGGCAAGATGAAATGAAAAAATAAGACTAGTTTTCTGGTGGTAGCGACAGCTGGTTTTCTCAACTTCAGTCATATTGAAATAGAAGTAATAAGTAGTTATCTTTCCAGAACTGGCTTTATTTTAGTACTAACTTAGTGGAAATTGTGCTTGGTACTAAACCCAAGGAAATTGGTGACCACTCGGAAAAAAGGAGGTTTAGTAAGTTCAAAGCAGCACAAAGGGTCGTTTTGAGTAGTTGAGATCTGCTAAGTTCAGACCTAGAAATGAAGAGCTTTTAATGATAATGCAAAAAAAAAAAAAAAAAAGTGTGTGTCTGATTTTCATAATGCAAGTGAGAATTGTAAACATAGCGATTTAGTAATTTTATGTTTATTTTGGAATAACAACAACCATTGTGATGACAGCTTTGGAAAACTGCGTGGAGAAGTCATGCTATAACAAAAATGAAAAAAAAAAATATTTATAGATCAGATACTCAGTTAACAGGGTGTTTTCCCATTTGTCATTTTCTTTGCTTGCCCATATTTTTTTTTAAATAAAGAGAATTTTCAGGTAGAGCTGACTTCATTTTTCCAAATGTGGATTAATTAAGTTGGTTTTAAGTATACATTGTTATTTCAAAAGACAATTTTGGAATAGATCAAAGAGAGGAGTAGGTGTTGTTAATTTATTGGCCTGCAAGAACAGATTTAATTGGAAGGCTAAATGTAAACTTATTGATTAGATTTTGGTTTTCTTTCTGCAGTCTGAGAACCTGAACAGGCTGAACAGGAAAACACCAGAGAAGCCTTTCTGGAGCTGTTGTCAGACAAACTTCTTGTTAATCAGGCAAGCAGTGAAGGTAATGCTGTTCGATGCATTTGTTCTGTACACACCAGTGCAGAGCCAGGGTGGGTTTTTGGGTTGAACTGTCCTTAAGCAGGAGGTGACAGGTTTATGGCACTGGAAAGAAGGGGCAGAGGTCTGGTGGAAGTTTTGCTGCACAAGCACAGAGCTGGGTTTCCCAGGGCAGTGCCTCAGGAGTGCTGTTCTGAGGTGAAACCAGAGAGGGCATAGCGTTCGTGCAATTCAGCACATTTTCCTGTTGGTCAGGTTTGGGTTCCACCTGCGTGTACTCATACCTGCAACTGAGCAGAGAGTGCAGCAGCATCTGTACTGACGGGGGTCACAGATCAGTTCAGCACAGGGGTATTTTCGGGTCACAGGTGCGTGGGGGCAATATGTGAATAGTGCAAGCATGTAGAGGTGTCTCTAGCCATGTGCTTATTTAATCAAAACCAATAGTTTTTCTGTTCTGTAAGTTCTTTTCTCTCCTTTTTTTTTTTTTTTTTTTTTTAATGAATTTTACTAGTTACTTTTAGAAATCACGTATATTTCTGATACCTTCTGTGGCTTGTAACAATGAGTTCTCTTGTTTGAGTCACAAATTAACACTGGTGCTGGAACAGAGGCAGCAAATGGAGATACCCAGAGAGAGGAGAATGCAGGATCAGAGTTGTAGACACTTGAATCACATTTAATATACTCTTTTTATATTTTTTTAAAGGACTTGTCACCTCTGCTTTAGTGTATACTTCAGGGCTGTGGATACACATTGTCATTTATGTCACTGGATTCTAGAATAAGTTTTTAAACTCTGGTTTGCTAGAAATAGAATTGTCTACATGAAAATTCAATGTCACCTGCTTAAAACATACTGTTGGGCTTTTGGAAGCAATATTCATGGTCTTAATTTCATATTAAGTTGAAATGTAAAATTTACATCAAGTATTGTTTTTATTTTAAGTCCCTTAGAACAAAGATTTGGAAACTCTAAGTATAACATTACTTAGAAGGAATTTTGGAGAATTTTTTTTCTACCACCCAGATTAGATTAGTGTGGTTTGCTGGCAGTGCATGAGGTTCAAAGCCGAAAAAATATCAAATCAAATTAATTTGATTTCGTTGGCACATGTGTGCACAAGTTTACAAAATGCAGGCTAAGCAGAATACTTGTTTCATCCTACTTCTGTGGCTCTATTAACTAAAATGAACTGTGGCTTATCTTAACCACGAGAAGATGGAAGTGATTAGATAAACATGATATATTCCTGTGGGGCGCCAGTTGCTAGAAGCAGCATGCAGTTTGCAAAATGATTTCTTGTAATATCCTTTTTATGTCCATTCAATCTGAAAGCTTGGTTTTCATTACCAGTGAAGTGCAGCAGTGTATCTGACACAGAGGCTGCTTTGTTGTAGGCTATTTCCATATATTATGAAGGTGTGCAGCTGACTACTTCAGCCCCAGGTTCTAAAACTTTTAAACTGGTTTGCGTGGATTTTTTTTTTTTTTTTTGTGAAACATAGGGGGTTTTTGCCTTCCTTTGAACAGGAACGTTATGTTGAAGAGGCAGGAAATCTTCTTGCTAGTGGGGGAATAGTTGATGAATGAGGCTAACTCAAAACGATTTTGAAACTTTGACCCAAATCTGTATTCTCACAGGTAAAATTAGTGTAACTCATTGGCTTGAGTGGTACTGCTCTGGGATTTAATTTTCTGACATTTGAATTTGCATTCCAAGGAATGTATAAATGTTTTGTTTCAGTGCGAGACAGTTGATGTTTGTCAGTTTAATCACTGTATAATTAGAATTCAATTGCTTTTTGAAGTTCTTTGATCCTCCAGATATAAAAAGGGATACTGGAAAATAACTTGGTAATCACCAGTTAATATTGATTTTCCTCAGTAGTGTTTCTTCACTTCATAGCTGTTCTTCACACCTAGTGGCTACCCAGTTACACAGAGAAGACAGGTAACAATTAAATTTAAATCTCAAAACGTTGATATCTAATAACTCCCAGTTTTGCTGGTTGTTTTCAAGTCCTCGTAACCTTTGTTTGAGTTGAGTTTGTTCCTCCAGTGTGTTGAAATTAGATGGCTAATCTGTAAAATGTTGTAAATTCTCAAGTGGCCTATGCAAGATAAACTTTTTGTACAATCTAGCAGTCTAGCAGCAGAGCACTGTTGTTGTAGGATGTGCTGGAGAGAAGCATTTATTTTAGCCTCATGAACCAATTGTTTAGGTATGCCCTTGAGCAACTAGCTGCAACTAAGAAAATGAATCTTTTGAAGAGGCTGTGGTAATGTAGCTTTTCCTTGTGAATTCAGTAACTTGAAAATTTGTCTTACTGTACAGTCTTTAAAGATTACAATTACTTGTGTCCTCATTTAAGCAAAACTCATAAAACTCTTTGACAGTTATCTGATTCTATGGGTGATACTAGTAAGTAGGCAACGGTGTGATACTAGAAAATCTGTGCAGACTAATATTTCACTGCTTTGAAGATGCCATAGTATCTTCAGTGAATGTAAGAGAATATTAAAAATCTGGAGTCTGATTAATTTATCAAGGGGATTATAAATTATAAATTGACTGGACTTGATAGCCAAGGCGATCTTCCAGTTCTAAGCGTTATGAAGGTCATGACATGGAAAAAACTTTCAAAAGCCAAAATAATTGAAATATCTACTCCTGTTCTGGAAACAGCTTAGAAACTTCAGCATAACTTTCTGCTACTTGTGAATGGCAAGATTGAAACTTTATTTTGATGTGATAGGTAGGTGATAATGATAGCTATCATCACAGGAGCAATTTAAAAATGCATTTTGCCTGAAAGGAGCAAGTTAGTTTTCTGCTTCTCTCCTTGTGGGAAGGCTGTAACCTTATCAGTCTGCCCTTTCAAGGGTGTGTCAGCTGAACAGAAAACAGCATTTTAAGGTGGGTACTGCAGTCCTTCTACTGGAGTCACGGTAGGTGCTTTTGCAATCAGTTCCCTCCATACCAAGGATCTTTGAGGATGGAATAGAATAGATGAGGAAGTTTCTGTATCCTTTCTTACACTTCTTTGTGACTGTATAGGAGATTTACAGACTACTGTTGATGTCTGGGTTGGGTGGGGCGTGTTATGGGGTCTGAAGAAGAATCTGCTGGCCTCAAAGGGTGTTATTAGTTTGGAATTGGCCAAAAGCAGAGCTGAACATTACAGGGGAGTAATATGGGGGAAATGAAACATGAAAGAGATGTCTGAAGAAATACTTGAAGCAACAGACTTCTTCCAGTGCCAGAAGAGGAAAGGATGTGAAAAGGTTTAAGAAAATAAGGAATTCCTTTTATTTTATTAGATATACTGAACATGATTGTTTCTCTAAACATTCCTAGGAATGTATCTCTTGGCCAGTAAGTACTTTTTTTGTCCAATTCTGCTAGCATTTTGTTTTATTTCCATACATGTCCTGTATCAGTTTGTCTCTCTTGCCAGGGACACAGTGGCAACCAGGCCAGGGAATATTTCCTTTGCATTTGGATAGTTCTGAATGAACTGTGAACAGGGATCTAGTGTCTCCTGGCATTTTAAACATGTTGAAATGTTTACTGATGAGAAATTTGAATTCTTGTAATGTTATTTCAGAAGAATTAACCTGTGTTTAATGACTGGCTCATGAGAAATGGTAAGGTATGGAAGTGTAAATCCTCAGCATTCCACTCTGGAAGGGCTCTAAATATACAACTATGGTAATAAAAAATAAGGGAATAGTCCCAGGAGCAGCCGAGCTGCTCTAGCCTCTGTCAGGTGGGATCTGCACAGCCCCACTGATCAGGAAACTGTCCCTTTTTCTGTTCTCCTGGGTTTGCTTCTGATAGTTTGGTAAACTGAATGAGCTTGGGGGTGACCAGGTGCACTTCCACGCACAGAATACCCATGCTAGGGATGTGGCACAAGGGGAAGGACTTTGCTCTCTTGGGAACCCTGAGTTGTTTAACTGGCTCTTCCCATCTTTTGGCAGTATATTTTAGTGAAAACCCTATCAGAGACTCTCTAAACTTTACTGTCCTAGAAGGGTAGAACTGAGATTAAGACGAACTGTTAATCTTTGGACACTAAAAATCATAGCCTAGAAAGCTTTGGGGTCTCGTACATCTTAAGGCTGTGGGGCTGGATTCTACTTTCATTGGTTAATGCTGCTGCAAGTCAACGTGGCATACAGAGGAGGAAAATAATCAGGCTTTAATGAGACGCAGTTGAAGAAATCCAGTGAGACGAACTCAGCGGAATGAACGTGTAGAAAGCAACTACGGTTGAAGAGCTAATATGCTGTGTCTTGAGAAATATAAACAAGTAGGAGGGTAGTAATAAGTGCTCATGCAGGGTAAGCCAACTGCCTAGAGCTGAGTGCCCCACAGTAGTTAATTGGGGAGATGAAGCTATTGTCCCACCGCCTTTGGAAAAGAAACGAGAAAAACTGGTCTGGTGCTTCTGAAAGGCAAGGCAGCAGCTGAAGCAGTATCATGAATGACCTTGTTCAGAATTTTTCACTTTTTCTGAAACTGGGGAGGAAGAAAAAGGCAAACAAAAACCAACAGCAAGCCCTGAGCAGTTACTGATGCTCTTTTATCAATGTTTTGTTTTTCTTTTATAATGGAAATATTTGGATTGTTTGCACGATTATCTTACAAGCAAGTATTCTGGAAAATCTCAAGTGATATATAGAAATTTATCTATTTCTGTGCTCTGAAATAAGAACTGATGAAGTCAGTGTAAATGCATCTGTTCTACATTTTCAAGCGTTGTTTTATAATCTATGGATTAGCATGTTACTAATAAGAGAACTGAGTTTGCATGTTCTCTCGTAGCATGTTTAATTCACCATATTACCACTAGCTTCCCAGATAGGTTCCTCAGTGTTCCGAAACAATGTGAGCTTTGTATCTGACCGAGGCATGTCTACGTGTGATGCCTCTCCGGAGGTGCAGTCCAAGGTCAAGAGCTTTAGAAGCAGTTTTCCTTTTTCTCTCTCTCCAG